GTAAAGAATATGTCGTTTAGCTTTGAGGGACTATTAAAGGGGTCAGTGACAAGTTGGGTTGTAATTTTCTAGGCACCCCTTTACCTACTAAACCATTAGAACATGCCAGGCTTTACACCCTGAAATTTGCCAAAACCCTGTTTGAAGCTCTGTGGTTCCTGCCAACATTCTCAAAATCTGGGCTCCATCCCAAAGCCTACAAGCCCCTGCAAAGCCAAAGTACTACCGGATTGTGGCTCACCTTCTATGTGCATCCAGATTACAGAATTGCCCCTCTTTCTGGAATTGGTGTAACTGTTAATACTGCTTGGTATACCGAATGTTAGAAAACCCCTGACTCACTTTTAGCAAGAGAGAGCTATTTGCACCATGGAGTGGCCCATTGTTTGAGGTGGCAGAGCAGTAAACAGTGCCTCGTGTTAGGTAGACTTGCTTATGTGTTTTTTAATGTTGACAATATTTTGCACTGGTGTTTTAAGATGATAGATGGAAATGATGTGGCATACTTTACGTGGCTTCTGGAATCTAGGGCAAGCAATTGCATGATTCTTTATCCCATGAGGTTGAAATAGTCTGAAATTGTCAAATTGTTGTGTGAACAAGTATGGTAAATTTGAGTGGGTGATTTCAATGTTAAACCAGATACAGAAATAAATAAAATGAAGGAAATAGCTTTCGGTGAAAGTGGAAAATGGGCCAGTGCAGAGTAACTGCCTATAATACACTCTCTTGATTTTCCTATTCGTTTGAAGTCATGTTTAAAGCTTCCTTCCCCTTTCTAATGTTCTCTCTCTCCCCCTCCTTTCTCATAGGTGACTGCAAGCATTGCACACCAACCATACTTGCATTCACTGAGACAATGAATCAAATTGCTTTAATTTGGGTATCTTCTGAAAGTTGAAGTAATACTTTAAAATAAATTTGTCACTTCATATGTATTAGAGTTCATTGCTCTCAGTTTCAGTTTTCAACTGCCAACAACCTAAATGCCTTCTTGCCTCGGAACATTTAAGCTAAATGTCCATGGACCTCTATAATCTAAATACTATAAATATTCTAATAAACATTAATGGAATTACAAAATACTTTTATCCCTCTTAACTCCTATGAAAATGTGAAATTATTTGATGTAATAAAACAATTTCATTGTAGAAACAGACATTCTGCAACAGTGTTACTTGTACATGATGCACTGGCATGACATATTTTGTGTAATCAGGACTAAGCACCTGCACAGAGACCAACCATTGTAGTGTAATACAATATGGAATCATAGTCCTATCTATTCAATCCTGAAGCAGAGTTTGAAAACACAAAACCTCACATGGAATGCTGTTACTTGTAGCTGTTACATGTACCTTTTAAAGGAAGCAAGATTTCACATCACTGAAGTACGTGGACTCTTAAAAACTAAAGCTAAGCCATGATTGGATAAACGAAAGGCAAAAATGAAATCCCAGCGTACTCAGATAAAAACAGAAGAACTAAGATTGGTAGTCAGCCATGTGACTTCTCAAGCCTGTTTTGCAATTTAATAAAATGATGGCTGATCATTGACTTCAGTTTCCCTGCCTGATCTACACAGCCTTTGATTCTCTTAGAATCCAAAAATTATTGATCTTAGTTTTAAGTTTACCGAGTGGCTGAGCATCCGCACCTCTCAGGCGGAACTTTCTAAAGATTCACAGTCCTCCTATTGATGAAATATCTCCATATCTCAGTAGGAAATTCCTGACCCCTAATTCTGAGACTGTGTTTCCTGGTTCTGGACTCTCCAGCCAAGGGAAAGCAGCCTTACCATCTTTTTTATATTGGTACTATTTAGAACCTTATTTGTTCAACTAGGAACCTCTCAATTTTCTGTAGAATGTAGGCTATTCTGATCAATCTCTTCTCATACTAAAGATAAGCTGAATTTGGCCATTTGGCCTCTCAAACCTACTGTTTCATTAAATACAGTTATGACTGATCTTCTATCTCAAATCTATCTCTTTGCATTCTGGTATTCAAAATTCTGTTGACCTCCATCTTGAGAATACAGAATAATTCAACATTCACGACTCTCTTGGGTAGAGAATTCCAAAGATTCATCGCCCGCTGAGTGAAGAACTATGTCTTCATTCCAGTCCTAAGTTCTATTTGCCAACCCGCTCCTCCCTGAATCAACTTATACTTCCAAAACAAACGGCCAGGTATGAATCTCATTTTAAGAAACGGTATGTCAAAATGTATATAAAACACAAACTAACCTACTTTGAATTGGAGAAGAAATTAATTGAAATTTCCACCCTGCTTTGGACAATGAGTTGCTGTTTTTCCATATATAAAATAGTACAAATATAAATTTTGTGGCATAAAGCTGATGTGCATCTGTTTCTGAATATAGTCTGCTGACAAACTATTCAAAATAGAAGATGAAAGGCAAAGCAGTTAAGACTATGGGATTTCTTGTGGCAGAGCTAGAAAACAAGAATGTTTTTGATATGGATAAGTACCAGATGCCAAGGAACCCTTGATGTGATTGACAAAGCAAAGATTGCCAGCTTTTCTAATAGAGAGGAAAAAGCAGGCTTGCTGTGAATATTTTAACAGTCAGAAAAAAGACTCTACTGTATTTGAAGAAGCTAAAACTATATTCACTTGTTCCATCAAATACACTCAGCTGTATCCCTATGGGATACAATGGTTGGGGTGAGTTGCATCCAAAATTGACAGGAAACAAAGGGTAATGGTCTGTGGCTGTATTTGCTCATGGAAAATGGTTTCCACTGGTGGTTGAGGTCGAAATCCCAGCTCTTTTTAAAGGAACTTGAATTTGTACCTGAAGCACTGCAAGCTGATGGGCCTTAGATCAGCTGCCAGTAAATTGGATTAGAATGGGTGGCTAGTTTATTCAGTTGGTGCAAATATGATAGGCTGAATGACCTCTTTGTGTGGTGTAGCCTTGGTGAGAGACGTGTGCAATGGCAGAGTGAGGAGTGGTGGCCCTGTGAGTGAGGTAGCAGAGAGAAAATGTGACACATACCATTGTGGAGCGCAGAAGATCACTCACCTTCATGCATTGCTGGGCATTTCATTTAATCTGGAGCTCAGCACTGACCCAGGCCACTGTCTCCATCCTCGTGGCTGTGACTGGTGATGTGGCTTCTTCCATCGGAAAAAGCACTGCTCTCCTTTGGACCGCTCCATCTACAAACATCTCCAGATCTCTGTCGGCTCCAAATTAATTCTGAAAAGGTATATATTTTGGAACTGTTGCTGTAAATATTGTATGTATACAGACCCAATTAGTGTATTTTAAGGTTTTTTAAAAAATTTTAAATAAATGTTACCGAAAGATCCTCTGGATGTTAGTTAAATCTCTTGTAATGCCCAGCTTGGTGCCAAAGGTAATGTGTAAGAGGTGATCGATTGTTTAAATTTCCTTTTCTTTGTGGAATTATATTGCAACAAATAATCAAGTATCAATTGTTAAAAAAAAAATTAAGTACGTTTGTGAACGTGGCCAGTCATTAATTCACAGGATTTAAGTGCAAGAGCGTGCAACATCTTTTCAATTCGCCCTCCATCATGAGGTAGGGATGTTTGCTGATGTCTGCACTACATTCAATACCATTTGTGACTTCTCAAATCCATAAGTTGTCTGTATCCAAATGGAGACCTGGACAACATTAAGGCTTGGGCTGATAAGTGACAAGTAACATTTGCACCACACAAGTGCCTGGCAGTCGTCATCTTCAACAAAAGAGAATGTAACCACTACCTTTCGACAATCAATGTCACTGATTTCCCACTGCTATCAACAACTTATAAGTTATAATTGACCAGAAATTGAACTAGACCAGTGGAAATAAGATCAGGTCAGAGGCTGTGAATTCGATGGCAAATAATTCACCTCCTCACTTTGAGATCTGCAGATAATGACAGGATGGCTGTTAGATTCGGGGTGTGTTCAGTCTCCTCCATTTACTTGGGGGAATGTTCTCCTGTAGTTCCCCCTCTGGATACTGTGCGGTGGCTGCTGGAGGTTGCTGTTCTCAAAGGCCTTGGTAACAATGTTGTAATTCCTGTCTTCATTGCTGCTGTTGTCAATTTCCAACAAGGCCATAAGGAATCCTCCAAGGGTCCAATTGACGCAAGGTATGTTATAGTCATGATTGCTTGAGGCCACAGTAATTTTTTATTGTTCATTTTTGCAAAAAGAATTACTTTTCCATCAAATCTGATTTGATACCAGTTAGGTGGCATTATAAATTCAATTCCACGAGCAGGGCCTCACATTCAAATAATTATAGTCTGTGTCCAAGCAGAAAATGGTAACTTTCTCTGTAGGAGTTGGTAACAATTTTGTTACACTATTACATAATTGAATTTGGTAATATGTCAAAGTTTCAGCTGTGTCCTTATTATTGACTTGTGGAATGATCTCCCTATCTTCATGTTCTCTTTTGTGTTGCTCTTCCTGGGTCCCTGATGACCTTTTATCCTCCCCCATTTCCATTCATCCACAATATATGAGGAGGAAGATAATGCAGTGATACATAGTTAGTCTTATATCTACTGCTGTAAAATGAAATTTCTGACTGTTTGGGGTAATGAGTATCTAGAATGTATCATTAACGCAGTGACCTTTGCTTACTGATAAAACTCTCACAAAGAGCATTACACCAATTAATTCTGGGTAGTGTCATAAAATTGACTATTGCACAGTTCAGACAATAGTGCAGCTTCCAAATTGTTCAACCTTGAAGTTTGTTTTTCTGCTTCATTGGATATGCTAGTTGGAGAGGCTGCATGCATCTGAAATATTTTATTTATTTAGTCAGATTTAAGCTACATTAAATCCATCATATATTCTCACTGCTGTCTTTGAAAATACAGTTGCCTTTGTTTAATAATTAATTAGAATATATTATGTATGCTTGTTTTATAGCTTTAAAGTGTTTTGTATTGATAGTTGCAGTGAGCCTCAAGAAATATCTGTATTCATTTCTCCATAGATCGTGATGAGCAACGGCACTGAGCAGTAGAATTACAGTACTTTGAACTTCGTCTCAGCAAGTGAAAAAGCTTTCAGTCTCCTAGACTAGCACGTCAAGTCAACGTAAAGCAGGACAGAAATTATGTTCTACATCTCCAGGACTGTTTTGACGCACGCTGTTCTCACAGCAAGAATTATGCACAGATTGATTGGGTTCGCAAAAGTGAACGTGTCAAACAGTTTGTTTGCTAGATCCCAGCAACACAAGAACTTAAGTATATCAGCCAAAACCAGTGCACCAAAGGTACAAACATATAGCTATGTAATAGTGGGAGCAGGTTCTGCAGGATGTGTCTTGGCCAACCGTCTTTCAGAAGATCCTGATAATTCGGTGTTGCTTTTGGAAGCGGGACCTAAAGATACAATATGGAACAGCAAGAGACTCATGTGGAAAATTCATATGCCAGCAGCATTGATATACAATCTATGTGATGATAAGTATAACTGGTATTATCATACTGTAGCTCAGAAACATATGAATAACCGTGTAATGTACTGGCCCAGAGGTCGTGTTTGGGGAGGATCCTCTTCATTGAATGCAATGGTCTATATCCGTGGACATGCAGAGGATTATAATCGTTGGGAGAGACAAGGTGCTATTGGTTGGGATTACGATCACTGCCTTCCTTATTTTAGGAAGGCACAGTGTCACGAGCTAGGAGCTGACAGGTATAGAGGAGGAAACGGACCTTTACAAGTATCACGTGGAAAAACAAACCATCCTCTTCATATCGCTTTCCTTGAAGCTGGGCAACAGGCTGGCTACCCATTTACTGATGACATGAATGGATTTCAGCAAGAGGGTGTCGGTTGGATGGATATGACAATTTACAAAGGTATTGAAAGTTGATGATTATTGTGCTATGTATTTTGCTCTCAGATTTGAAGAAATTATTTATATTTGAAATTTATCTGATTGAATTGTAGGAATGTATAGCTGAAACATTGTTTCAACAAACAAATCACAAAATTTAGCCAATCATCATATTGGTGATCTACTAACGCTTGACAAGAAGCTATTTTGTCACTTAATCAATCTATGTGCTGAGATGGATGGTAAGAATTGCCAAAGCTGGAGTCATTGATAACACAGTATGGAGTTGAAGGAACACAGCAGGCCAGGCAGCATCAGAGGAGCAGGAAAGCTGACTTTTCGAAATGTTCCTCCAGCTCCACACTGTGTTATATGTGCTGAGATAGTTGTTTTTTATGCAGATCTGTGAAATGCTTCTGCAACCCAGTTTTAAAGGTCAATTTTCAAAACGCTCTGAATATGTTAATAGGAATACAGTAATGATTAGGTGCAGTGGGTGATTAGGAAAGCCAGTGGAATGCTGGCCCTTATTTCAGGGGGGTTGGAATATATGAATAGGGAAGTCTGACACTACTTGTACAAGGTGCTGGTGAGATTTGGTCCTCTTATTTAAGGAAAAAAAGTTATTGAAGGCAGTTCAGAGAGGTTTCACAAGGAAGATATACAGTATGGAGGGATTGTCTTATGAGCAAAGGTTAAATAGCTACTCATTGGAATTTAGAATAATGAGAAGTGATCTCGTTAAAACATGTAGGATTCTTAAGGAGCCTGACAGGATAAATGCTGACAAGATGTTTCCTGTTATGGGAGACCCTAAAACCAGTGGCATAGTCTCAGAATAAAAAGGCACCAATTTAAGACTGCAGTCAGAAGAAATTTCTTCTCTGTGTGTTCTCTCAGAGAGCTATGGGGCAGAGTCCTTGTGTATATTTAAGGCTAAGATAGATTCTTAGTAGGGGAATCAAAGGGTATGGAGAAAGTGCAGGAAAGTGGACATGAGATATGTTGGATCAGCTACGATCCCATTAAATGGTAGAGTAGACTTGAGGGGTCGAATGGCCTACTTTTATTCCTATTTCTTATGGTCTTATAGCTGGGTGGGAAGATAACATGCTTTCTAGGGTGGATCTCATGCTCATAAAATTCAAAGTGCTGCTCTTTAGCATTGCATTGGTTGTACTTTGCAATGACTGACTAACCTGGTTTAAGACATTTTAAAACCAATTTATGTACCTTCCTATACAGCCTTCCTGCTACTTTGAATGAATTCATGCATTGCTTCCCAGACCGGCTGACTCTTTCACTATAGGCCCAATGTGAAGAGCTGTACTGTTGCAACTTGCGTGCCTTTGATGTTTTGGACTGTCCTTTCCTGCTACTTTGGTATATAATTACCAGTAGTAGCTCAGTCTATGGTCTTGGTCACAAATTCCTTTTCATGGTTTTCCCTTTCAACAATAAGCTGATACTTCACTTCCTTAAAATATCTTGTTTATTAAGTTTGTTAACCTGTTCATTCCTCGAATTAATTTGTCACTTCTTGATTTGACTGTGTGGGAGTAGTGGTTAGCACTGTTGCCTCACAGCACCAGGGATCCAGGTTCAATTCCAGCCTTGGGCGACTGTGTGGAGTTTGCACATTGTCCCTGTGTCTATGTGGGTTTCCTCCAGGTGCTCCGGTTTCCTCCCACAATCCAAGTATGTGCAGGTTAGGTGGATTGGCCATGCTAAATTGCCCGTAGTGTTCTGGGATGTGTAGATTAGGTGGGTTATAGGGGTATGGGTCTGGGTGGGATGCTCCTAGGGTCAATGTGGACTTGTTGGGCCGAAGGGCCTGTTTCCACACTAGGGATTCTATGACTTCATCATTAATTTTTTTTCTGGAAGTATTGGAATTTTCACCGCAGCTTTAAGCATAATATTCTAGACCATCAAGAAGTGAAGGGTTGCATTTATAAAAAAAACTTTTTCCAATGTAAACGGTTTTCTCAAAAATTTCAACCCATTAATTTAGGGGAGGCAGTACTCTAGTGGTATTATTGCAAGGCTATTAATCTAGAGACCCGGGTAAAGTTCTGGGTACCTGGATTCAAATCCTGCCATGGCAAATGGTAGAATTTGAATTCGGTAAAAAAAAATCTGGAATTAAGAATCTAATGATGACCATGAAACTGTTATCGATTCTTGGAAAAACCCATCTGGTTCACAAATGTCCTTTCGGAAAGGAAACTGCCATCCTTACTTGGTCTGGCCTACATGTGACTCAGGGCCCACAGCAATGATGCTTAACTGCCCTCTGGGCAGTTCTTAGGCATGGGCAATGAATGCTGACCTAGCCAACACTGCCTACATCCTGTGAATGAATAAGAAAAAAAATGCTTTTGAAATGTAATGGAGTGTAATATGTCACTGTAAAGTAAACAAAACCAGCTTATCAATAAATGACATGGTCTCACAGTGATGTGACAGTAAAGAGGTTAATAATCAATCAATCAGATTTATCACTGCTGATCAAAAGACGACTATTGGCAGGAACAATGAGAGAAATCTCTACTTTCCATTGACTAATTATGAGGTCTTTGAACATCATCTCACAGGCAAACAGACTTCTATTTAACATTTTGAACTTGCCTAGAACTCTTGTACTACCTCAATTTCCACGGATATTTGTAGAATATTAGTATAAATTCAGTTTTAATGCAATGTTTTATCTTTGGACTGCAGAGGTATTTGTGGTATAGAATGACGTGTATGTATGTATTTCAGATATTACTGAACCGTTTGCTTCTCTTAAATAAATTGCTGCTTTTTACGCAAATTTCACAGAGGAGGAATAACATAAAATGAAGTGGCTTTTTAATTTAAGTTTGTTATACATTATCCAGTTCATAATTCGTAAGTTTGAGAATAATATAACTTTTAGTTTTGGGAATTAAAGTTTTAGCAGTAGGTAAATGGAAGCATTTGATTAACAAACAACGGAAGAATTGTGGATGCTGTAAATCAGGAACAAAAATAGAAGTTGCTGGAAAAGCTCAGCATGTCTGGCAGCATCTGTGAAGAAAAAAATAAGAGTTAACATTTTGGGTCCAGTGACCCTTCCTCCGAACTGATGGTAGCTGGAAAATGTTAGTTTATATGCAGGAAATAGGGAGGGGTATGGGGTAGGGAGTAAACGATAGGATACACTCTCTCTCACAAACACACATGCGCGTGCACACACATGTGAATCTATGGGGTGAATTTGTATTTGCAGGTCCATTTTATTTTGTTCAAAAAGCACATTATTTATAGACAGTCAGTCAATGTGGCGTTTTATAAATTACTACTTTAGAAATAAAACCAGTCTGATTCCAAATGAAAACACAAACAGATTCTAAACAAGGCATCACACCTAACATGCATTGTCTGAACTAAAATGTCACATCTTCTTTACACTGATAAAACCTTTAGTTCTCTCAGGACCATGACTTGAAAGGAATTCGGGGTTTTACACATACTTATTAATTTTTTACTTATAAATTCGGTTTGATATTACCTCTCTCACTAACACCTGAAGAAGGAGTGAGGCTCTGAAAGCTTGTGTTCTTCAATAAACCTGTTGGACTATAGCCTGGTGTCATGTGATTTTTGAACTTGCCCACCCCAGTCCAACACCGGCACCTCCACATCATGGGAATTAAATTAGGAGGTTGTTTCTGCCCGGTGAATACACAGTGGACTGAAAGGGCTTTTTCTGTTCTGTAGACTGTGTGAAATGGCCTAATTCTTTTCCCATGTCTTATGGTCTTATGGTCTCATGGCCTAAGGCATGTGGATATCTGCTAGCAGCCAGATTAAGGTATCTACAGCCATGAGGCCTCAGTGGGAGTTGGAGAGTTGCTGAGCCAAACATTCAAGGAAAGACCCCAATGAAATTAGACAAGCTGAAGCACCAAAAGAAGTGAATGAACTTTTAACATTCTTGTAAGCTATAAAGGAACATTTATGGGGTTGGAATGTAGTGAAGAGAAGAAAAAAGCAGAATTCCCAGTTTCACCAGTTATAAGCTATAGTATTAAATGAGTGGTGCTTATTTTGCTCAACGTTCTTGAACAAAAACGAGGAAATCTAAGGCGTGGCTGTGCCAGTTAATTGAGATGTTCAGATTTCACTTCAAATGTTAACAGACTCTAACATGATTTTAACAATTGACGCCAGTTTCTCAGTAACAAGTACAATTTTTTTCTAGAATTGTTAAGCATTTTTCTTTCACATTGACGATTTAACTCAATTTATACAGTTGTGCTTTATTTATTTAAAATTAATGACGCCAGACTATCCAGTATCTGCAGTTAATTGAGTTTCAAGTGCAAGATTGTAGTGGGTCAGATCTCAAACAACGTTGAGACAGATTACAGGAAGGAAATGGACATCTTAGTGCCCTGGTGTACAGACAACAATCTGTCCCTCAATGTTAACAAAATGAAGGAGCTGGAAGTGGAATGGAGGACACCCCCTGCCTGTATCAATGGTGCTGAAGTGGAGTTGGTCGAGAGCTTCAAGTTGCAAGGAGTAACCATCATCAACGATCTCTCCTGGTCCATCCACATCAATGCTACAGCCAAGAAAGCATACCAATGCCTGTACTTCCTCAGAAGGCTAAGGAAATTTGGCATGTCCACAATGACTCTTAACAATTTTTATAGATGCACCATAGAAAGCATCCTATCCAGATGCATCACAGCTTGATATGGCAATAACTTAGCCCACGACTGCAAGAAATTACAGAGAGTTGTGAACGCAGCTCTGTCCTGAAAACCAGCCTTCCTGACATTGACTTCATCTACACTTCCTGCTTCCTCAGGAAAACAGTCAACATTATCAATGACCTCTCCCACACTGGTTATAATCTCTTCTATTCTCATCCATCAGGCAGAAGATACAAAAGTTTGAAAACACATACCAACAGATTTAAGAACAGCTTCTTCCTTGCTGTTATCAGACTTATGAATGGACCTCTCATATAACTCTCTGTAGTTGTAACATTGTATTCTGCATTCTGTTCTATTATCCTGATGTAGTAATGTAAGAAATGATTTGTCGGGTTAGCATGCAAAACAATACTTTTCACTGTATCTCGGTACATGTGACAATAATAAATCAATCAATTAAATCAAGCAATTTACTGGGAGGTGAAAATTCTGCCCAGGAAGTTTAAGGCCATGTTCCTGTTATTTTGATGTATTTCAAAATCCAGACACTGACGTATCTTGGTTTTCTGATTTGAGATTTATGCACTATATGACTCCTTTTATGGAGACAGACAGCCAAACCACATCAGGCTTTCTATTTGTTTTTGCAGCACAGTAAAAATAAACTGTGGAACACCCTCAAATAGTCACATCAGTGGTTCCTAAGCAGATTTTTGAATAACAAATCCCAGACTTTGCAAATAATTAATTTCTAGACACCAGTTTTATACCTTTAACAAAAGACTTAACAATTTATTAGATACACAAAAACTTTAGCAGAGAGAAAATTAAACTACATGGTAAGCTGATAAACATCTGTATTTTAAACACAATATTTGTTTTTAGCCCCCATTCACACGAGAGACAGATACACAAACAATTAAGGGATAAGTAAAAGAAAACAACGAAAGTGGCCAGATTACTTAAATGGTTTTCGTGATGTGTTGTTTCACAGGTATAAATGTACTCATCTTGGATGATTTTCTGAAACACTTATTCAGGTAATCTCAGTTCACTGAGGCAAAAGCAGCAATATTTCTAACTTAGCTTTCTTTTGGCTTTTGGAAGTTGGTATATCAGATTAGGCAGGGAACTTTCAAATTTTCATGCTGTCTCAACAACAGCCCAGAACCATCTCTCAGAAAATATAGTTTTTAAAAAAAACTTCAATTCTGATTCCACCTCGATATACTGACCGACTCTTCCTGAGGCCTCAATTACCATTCAACAATGTTTGAACATAGAGTCTCTTCCAGACTTGCTGGGGCCAATTCCCAGATACTGACCACTATTTAATAGCCAACTTCAGTTTGTTTAAACATAATGCTCAGTGTTGCTGTGTCTGTTAGAACCTTGTTAATCCAAGCTAAACCTGCATTTAGTCTCCAGGCCTGGCCTCACAAACAAACAATTCTTTTTTGGACTGTTCTTTTCCTTTTAGTACAAACTGTTCAAAGTCCACAAATCAGTTCCAGCTCACAATTCAAAATTGATGAAAAGCATAAAAACAAAAGTAACAAAAAATCAGTGAAGGGTCTAACACTGTGCTGTGATCAAATAACTTTTCTGAATCTCTTTATATTTTTGAAATTCAAGTTGCAGAAAACCAACAAAAATGCACACATAAATCTGAGTTATTCATGATTTTAAAAAAAGTGTGGCTATAACTTTGATATGCTTGATGTCAGACCTAAATCTAAAAAAGGTATACCATCAGCACTATGTGAGCACAGTGATAATGTAAGCAGAAATATATAACATTATTTACTATATATGAATCTAAAATAATTACTATGGTATATGTTTTGTCAAAAAGTCTATTTTAAATACCCTCTAGCGCCAGCTATAGGCGACATTTCATTGAAGGCATTGCTTAAGTCTTGGAAAGTTAACTTGATTAACCATATTTATAATGAATGTCATTTTATATCTTTCCATTGCAAGCTACAAAAATGCAGTATAAATAGTTACTTCACCACTTACAGTCAAAATATTCTGTCTTTCAGGAAAAAGGTGGAGTGCAGCCACTGCCTATTTGTCCCCTGCTTTGTTACGCAGAAACTTAACAGCAGAAGAGAAAACCTTTGTAACTAAAATTTTGTTTGATGGCACCAAAGCCATTGGAGTTGAATACATTCAAGCTGGATTACCAATAAAGGTACTGTGGCATTGCATTTATTTGATGCCACTGCATTTTTTTCTTGTGATTGTTTTTAATGTCTAAAAGTACTTAATCCATCAACATTACATGAATTGTCAGACAATCTAAAGTTTTTGTGCCTTTTAATATCTTCATCAGAGGTTTATTTGAAAGCCAACTTTTCAAAACATTGGACATACAGTTGATATTTTTGTCTGTGAAATCAATTTAAATTTAATTTAATTTATTAATTTAATTTAACATAGTTAAATTTAAGTTGGAAAGTTGCTCTCGAATTTGCTTCTGCCACTCTTTCAGGCAATGCAATTGGTATCATAAATATTTGGAAAGACAATTTCACATCTTCCTCTTGTTCTCATGAGTTATTTTAAATTTCTTTTCTCTGGGCATCAATCCACTTGTTTTTGGAAACATTTATTTAATCTGTGAAAATTCCTCATGATTTTGAACACCTCTATTAAATTTCCCCCTTGATCTCTGCTCTAAGGAACAAACCCAAACTCTAGTTTCTCCACATTACTGAAGTTTTATATGAGAGCATAAGAAATTGGAGCAAGTACATTCTGTCGTTTGAGCCCATCCCACCATTCATTACGGCTGATTTTCAACACAGTTTTCCTCCACCATCTCCTTTTACCTTGATGGTTTTACAGTGTAGAAATCTATCAATTTCAGTGTCGAAATGTACTCACCAATTGTACCTTCACTATCTTCTAGGCGGAGAATTCCAAATATTCTTCATCTTCTGAGTGATAAAACTCCCCCAATCTCAATTTTAACTGGTCTACACCTTATTCCGAGACTGTTCCCCCGATTTTTAGACATCTCCCATTCCCACACCTCAACACTAGCCAGGTGAAGCACCTGTCACATATCTACTCTTCAATCTCTGTAAGGATTTTGTATGTTTGACTGAGATCATCTTTCACTCTTCTAAACTCCAGAGAATTTGGGTCCAGTCTATTTAATGATTTCTCATAGAACCATCCCTCCATCCCTGGAATGAGATTGGTGAGCATTGTTGCACTTCCTCAACAGCAAGTGTATTTTTCCTTAGGTGAGAAGTCAAAAATTACACGCAACACTCCCAAGTGTGGTCATGTGAAAGCTCTATATAATTTCAGTAAGACACCTTTGCTCCTAAGCTCAAATCCTAATACGATAAAGGCCAACATTCCATTTGCCACCTCAACTATTTGTTGTATGTGCACATTAGCATTTAGTTAACAGAACTGTAGCTGCCCATTTTCTTTTGTCCTTCATTCTTAAATAGTGCAATAACATTAGACATCTCCCAATATGCCACAATAATTCAAGAGACTGTAGAATTTTAAAGATGACCACTGATGCATCTCATCCCCGCAGACTCATGAACAAGGACGTTCATGTCCCTTAGTTCAACATTTCCCAGCCCCTCTCTACTTAAAAAAAAACTCCAGTTGAATTTTCCCAAAAGTAGGTTACATGTCAGTTTTGGGGAGTTTCCCTCTAGTGACTTTGCTCATGCAATTTTACACTGCTTACTTCATTAAGTATGCACCACATGTCTACGGCGATGCTTTTGCACTGTCTTGCCCTTAGCTTGCTGGTGTTTTGAACTTCCAACCTTCACAGCTTGGGTGCCAAATTTAAACCTCAACTGTGTAATATCTCAAACGCTGCCAGTCTGTCTGAAGTAGCCATCCAGATCACTGTAGGGTCCACAATGTGGAGGAATGTGCAACAGTGTCACAAAAAATTAAATGATTTTGACACGCTAAGTGTCACGGGTAAGTGCGATCATCTTTTCAGTGCTACCTCATACTCATAACTCTGCGATTCCATCTACTTTTCACCAAGACTCTCAGTCTACCATTTTCAGTATTGTACTCAACAACTTTTCTCAATGGCTCTCACCCATCCCACCTCCCAAACTAATAATCCTTCCTGCCCTGTGCTTCCTAGTAACTCAATTGAGCAACCTCATTATCTTTCCTGACTGACGCAGAACCAGCACCCTGGCTGACCACAGTCCCCCTTGACTGTTCATTGCTGCCAAGCATTCCAAACTGCCTGACTATCTGCTCTAAAAGGCAAGGAAGAGATACTGTGAACATCCAAACATGCTCACTCACTCAGTATCAAATAAAGCAAACTATGAGCCCTGAAATGCACCCTGTTCTGATGTATGTAATGGGAGCCTATCTCTGCAGATAACAGACTGGCAGCAGTATTGCAATTTAAGGTGTTTCTGAGCTGCAAATTGCTGAATTGTATTTAAAATGAGTCACAAATTTGCCATGCTGATTTCAGGCTGGTGCTTTGCCAATGCCAGTCTCCATGGTTGGAGGGCATAGTCAGTTACTGCCCATGGAGCGTGAGAGCTTGCTGTAGAATGTTTGGGAATGCTAGCCAGCGTAGAGGCCTAGGGAAGACCCCAATGAGCTGCTCTAACAGATATCAATTCAGACTTACATGCTGGGAATTGTCACCGTTATTTTCTCTCCAGTGTCTGGGAAAAATGCAAACTGCATATATGTTAGGTGAAATTCGGTGGTAATAAGATGTGAATGTACGTAAAATAGGCCCCTCGCCGCTAACTAGTGAGAGTTTCATCTAACTGTTAACATCTTCGGTAGAACATTGGATATTTTTCCCCTCAGTGTTGAGAATATGTTTTTTCTGTTCTCACCATATTTTCCCAACTGACTTGCCATTGCTCTCCTTTTTCAGGAATTCGGATAATTCAGCCCTCTAATTTTTTGTTTTTCTTATCAAAATGAAGAACCTCACATTTCTCCACATTGTATTCTACCTGCCAAATGTTTGCCCTCTTGCTTATATTTCAAGGGGATTTTAAGAGGTTATTTGCATCCTCCGCAACATACAGGCAAGAGAACATACTGTCTGATAACTGGTTTTCGATTCATGCCAAACTACTGCTCTTATTCTCATTTGCTTAAATTTTGCTTACAAACTTCATATGGGATTTAATTGAAAGCCTCCGGAAAATGTAGTGTATCAGTTTCACTGATTCCTCATCTATTCTGCTAGTTACGTCCTCAAAAGCTTCAACAGATTTTTCAGCACTATTTCCCTTTCATAAATCCATGTCAACTATATCCAGTTCTATGGTTATAGCCTAAATATCCTGTTATCACATCCTTTATTATAGATAGATCTTGCCTGCATAATAAGGTCAGAAGTGGGGATGTTTGCTGATGATTGCACACTATTCAGCAGTATGTGCAACTCTGGTGGTTTAAGAAGCCAAATCAGTGCAACCAGTGAATCCCCATCCCATGCCTGAATAAAAAATAAGTTATTGCTAACATATTGCTCCTATGACTGATTTTAGGCTAACAGATCTGTAGCTGCGCATTTTCTTTTGTCCTCCATTCTTAAATAGTGCAGTTACAATTAGACGTCTTCCAGTATGCCAGGATCATCCCAGACACTATAGAATTCTAGAGAAGACCATTGATGCATTTATCACTCCTGCAGCCACATCTTTCAACAGTCTGTGATATAGATCATCAGGTTGAAGAGATTTATCCACATTAAGTCCCATTAATTTTTCTAATGCTACATTTTTACAGACAATATTCCATTGTTCTTTGCTTGCATTAGTTTCTGGATTTACCATTATTTCTGGGAGTCTTTTTTTTTAGTATCTCTTTCCATGAAGACAGACAGTGTATTTGTTTACTGAACCCACATTTGTTTTGCCATGTCTGTTGACATCACCCGCATATGTGCTATGCAAGGCTTAAATTTGCACATTTGAATGGATTCAGCTTTGAACTTGCTATGGCTATGAAGTGGGTGAGGGACTGATGGTTGTGAATGGGGGAGGAGATGGCTCTGCTGAGGGGGAGGGGATCTCCTATCATCATTCCCCCACTACCCTCCCCATCACTTCCCACCCCTGTCTTCCTCCTCCCACCTCCACCTGTCCTCTCTCTTTTCCTTCCATCCTCCATCTCCTACCTTCGTACTACTTTCTCTTTCCCATTCCCCTTCATCACGTCCCCTTTCTACACTGTCTGCTCTTCCCTCCTGATTTCCTCTCTGTCCTCAGTCCACTCCCTCACTTTGTCCTGCTGAACTCCATTCAATATCACACTTCTATTCTGCACACCTGCAGTTCCTATGTGTATAATCTCATTGGAATTCTACGAGATGCGCAACATTTCTGGAAACATGCATGCACACTTGCAAGCGAGGCCGTGTGTTAGCATCTGTTTTTATTCTTCACTCCCTTTTTTAAAAATTGATGCACGAGATGTCGATGTCACTGGCTAGGCCCGTATTTATTGCTCATCCTTAATTGTTCAGAGGGCAGTTAAAGAGTCAGTCATATTGATGTGAATCTGGAGTCACATGTAGGCCAGGCCAGGTAGGGATGGCAGTTTAATTCCCTAAAAGACATTACTGAACCAGATGGGTTTCTGTGACAACTGTCAACAGTTTCCTGGTCATCACTAGACTCTTAATTCCAGAGTTTTATTGCTGGGGTGGGATTCAAACCTGGGTTTCCAGAATATTGCTTGTTCTCTGGCTTAACAGTCTAGCGATAATACCACCGCCTCCTCCTAACATACCTATAGAAGTTGTTAAAGTCGGTTTTTATGTTTTTTGTTAAGGTTATTCCCATATTAAATTTTCTCTTTTTTAATATCTTTCTTGGTCTTTTGCAGAATTCCAAAATCTTTCCAATCCACATGCTTGCCAGTTTTTAACAACGTTAGAAGTTTTCTCCTTCGTCTAATATAACCCTTGATTTCTTGCACAGTACTGTATCTAAAATACCCTGTTCTCCTTTTGTTCCTCAATGTGCTGCTCTGAGGAAAATATCTTGCATATATTCAAAGAATCCTCTGTGACAATTGTACTAAGTAGTTTTACCTATTTACCATAGTCTATTGAAATCTGTCACTGATACACTCATCTGTGGCTAACTAATTCATACTGTGATTTGTATTATCATTGATGCTTGGTAAGCTATGAACGATGCA